TACGTACGACGTACGTACGTACGTACGTACGTACGTACGTACGTACGTACGTCGTACGTCGTCTCTCTCTCTCTCTCTCTCTCTCTCTCTCTCTCTCTCTCTCTCTCTCTCTCTCTCTCTCTCTCTCTCTCTCTCTCTCTCTTCGTCGTGGCTTTAAGAATGAGATTTAAACGTGGAAATGCGCGGAACGTCGCAAACGCGGAATAAAATAATGAGGTCACGACATTATAGTCGGCGGTTAACGAGTAAAAATTAAGGTCACGACGAAGCGGCGATGACGGCGAGGCGAAGCCACGCGCATCGTGTCCGCCTCGACGCGACACATCTCCCGGGTACAATCGGTTTTCATTTCGTATTCGGAGCGTGTTGAGAAAGTTCGACAACGTGAATCGCTCGAGAGTTCCCGTCCTCGGCGTTCTCACGTCGCCGTCGTCTCTCACGGCGCTTTAATAGAGTTAAGGATATCGATCCGCAAGTTAAAGCGGAGCACGTTCACGGACACTAAAATACTCACACTGCCACCGGCTCTTTAAATTTGCCACACTGCTGTATTTGGTACATCAGATCGCCGCCGTTCACATATTCCATCACGAAGTAGAGGCGATCCTGAAGCGGAAAGCAGAAAGCGGATCTTTGTAAGCCGCAAGCACAAGTCTCGGTTATCTTTCATTGCGTTTTCACATCATTTGTACCTAAGAGAGCTCGGTACGTTCTTTGCTCAACGTTTCCCCATCGCGGAGATTTTAATAGGACACTTAACAAGAAACGGATTATTCCATTTTGATAACTTTTGAATTAAACTTTGTATGAAAGATGAATAAATAAAAGTTTTACCTTTGAAACTAGAGATATTGTCTTGGCACAGAGAATTTTCATTGTTTTACATTAAATTATATTCAAGGTATTCACGATAGAAAAGGCTTTGGATTATTATTAATTTAATGAAAATAATTTAAATAAATATATATAATTTATATTTATGTGATTAAATGAATAATTCATAACCGTATTAATTTGTAAATGAGGAGTGCATGTAATTTCGGATCGGAAAAAAAAAGTACTATATGTACCATCGTCTGAAAACAAGAATGCAATTGCACCAAGAAGGGCGGCTTGCTCGAGAGCGCGAGTACACGTTTCTCGACCATTGTGCATTCCACGTCGTCGTCCTGGATAATGATGTCCTTCTTCAAGATTTTGATGGCGTACAGCTCGTCGGTTCCCTTCCTCTCCGCCAGCAGGACCTTGAATTAATTGATTCCGTCGAGATGCATTCCCGATTACGGGATAAAGCAGCCACTTCTCGAGATTGTTAAAACTTACCTTACCGAAACTGCCTTTGCCGAGTACCATTAAGAAATTGAAATCGCTGGCTCGTATCAGATCGCTTTTGCCCATGTTGTGCGGAACATCCTTATCCTGGGCCGTGTGTGTTTTTTTCGTCACCGAAGTTTTCTGAATAAAGTCAGCAAAAAGCTCGCGTATGAGTCATGCCAGAGAACTGGGCATTCATTATTTAAAATACAAAATAAGAAATAATATTTCAGATGTAATTTAAAATCGCTACGTTACGCTTAATTAAAAACAGCAATTATAAACAGCAATTTTTAATTATAGCAGATTATTTCAAAACAATTTCTTTCATTAATCCGATTCTTTCCACCATACCATAGTGAATGATATATTTATTTTGTATTTTAAAAATGAACAAAGAATCACACTGCCCAGTAAATAAATACCCGCATTTTGGTTTTAAGCTCGGCGAGGTCGACGCCTTCCTCAGGAACAGGTACATTGTAAAATTCTCCTTCCTCTTGAGTGAGAAGCTTGAACCATCCACTCGCGGGCGCTTTAATAAGCTCCGATATGCCAAAGGACAGGGATCCCATAAAATCGTTTCTAGATGTTCGATCCCAATCCCATACCTCGATCAACAGCCGCCTATCTTTATCCTCGGGTTTGAGGTCGCTAATAGTAAAAGCCAGATTGCTAAGCGCTGTTTTATCTTACAAGGATAGTAAATCTTCCCCAATTCAACTTCAAGATGTGCCATTCTTACTTTGATGGATATATCATAAAATAGAAAGCTTTATGTAGAAATCATTTATGATTTACTGGAACAATTTTCCAATCTGTTAAAATCTGTTACTACTATTTGAGAAAAATTGAGAAAAATTGCAATAAAAATATTTATTATAATTTTGCATTTTACCATCTTCGAATATTTTTTTTTACGGAAAACTTTCTGTCACAATTAAATCCGCTAAAATCTCTTTAAATGCAGATAGATGAGAATGTATATGATCATTTTAAGTTACATAACGCCTAAACTCTCTTAAAGCTTAGGAAGGAAGGAAACATCTCGAAACGAAACTGCGGAGAACGTCTTAATTCTCGGGAATAAAGATCTAATTGTCCGGTGCGAATACGGTCCTTGATTAACGAACGAATAAACCGACTTACAAGATGATTGTCTCGTTCCATTCTGGATTTAAGCACGACTTGATTGTCTTTGTTTTCTTCTTCACGTTGTCCGAATCCGGGATTAGCTTCAGCTTAACGTAGGGATCCGATAGTCCATTCGGATCCATTGGAATGAGATTTCGTCCCTCTCGCACTGCGAACGAACAAATCGAAGTCTTTCGGAAAGAATTTACCAAAAAGAAGACGCGCTTTATCTCCGAGACATGCACTTATCCGGAAAACGAGTTTCACGTACAAGAGATACTTTGAGAGATCGTATCAATTGGTCGTATCGATTGTTAAAAATATTATCCCGTAAAATGTATTGCGATTGCAAAACGCATCGAGAATTATTAATCATTAATTGTAAACTTTGAATGATCCATTAATTTGTTCTTTTTTATTATCATCACTGCATTAATCCATTTTTAAATGTAATATATAATATAATGTTCCCCCAAACTTAATTATTTAAAACTTAGACGCGCTCATACGTATAAAAGTTTTCTCGCGTCTCATTAGATTTCTTTTTGCAAGCATCGATCATTCTTAAACCGCTCGAAAGTCGTTAATATATAATCTTCATTATATATTTTACGTCGAATAATGCGATTGACAGTTTTACAATGTGTAATTAATAACCTGCTGACTGGAAGTGAAATGTGGCTAAGGAAAAATGTGATTAAGCGAAGAAAAATCGCGTTTTGTTTTGCGCGAAGAAAACTCTTAATCCGTTTCATCGCTAATTTTAATTAAACCTCGAGGATATGACGGATAATATCCTGATAGCCCGCTCAGGCGCGCCGCGAATGAGTTCGAACAAACCTAATTTTCGAGATAATCGACAGATGATAAGAGGCAGCCGACACGCCGTTCCTCCGCGATGTTTGCCGAGCCACTTATTGTTAGAAAATGCCGCAACACGCGGAAAAATGATATCACGTGCTATGATATTTCATAAATTTATTGCAGAAATTTATCGCGTTTAAATGATAAACGCTATACTCGATGATTATCTCTAACAAACTTTTATAACTAGTGTGTAAAACTTGTGTGGAAAACTGCAGATAAATATTTATTTAAATTCACATATATCGCAATATTTATATTTACATTTTTCCACAATTTTATATCTCTATAATAAAAAAATAATCTTTGATTGACACATATTTGATATATTAATTTATTAAAAATGATAAATAATAAAGTAATAATTTATATATTTTCAAAATATATACATCACGCTTGCAATTGCCATGCATACGTACACGCTTTTCGTTTAATATACGCAAAATGTAAAGCAATTGCTGCAAAAAAATAATCTGTCGTGAGATGTCTAATTTTTTTATGTTTTGCATGTTTGAATGCGTGTATCAATGGAAGTACAACTAAAATACATATTTCTTCCGTTCTCTCGAGTCATAAATGTGAGATTTCTTTGTGAGCGGATGCGAGCAAGATGATATATAGATAGAAAGCTATTTGTATCCAATAACCGTCTATCAGATAGTTGTCGAATTTCTATAACTTGAATATCAATTAAGATAATTATAGAGCAAAACAATTAGCCGAGACGTTAGATATATAATTAGGTTATATAATCTTATTGCGATTCAGACACTGGTGACCTATGAAACGTGATATCTGCGGTGCAGTTAAGGGTTTTAGCCAGGGCTCTCTTGTAATAGTATCACCCCTCCCCCTCCCGATGAACCGATTTGACGAGAACCATGGAAAATTTAATGCATTCCAGCCGTGGCGAATTTAGAGAATAGCGGCAAATATCGGGCGCGTTAGTGCCAGCTGCGGAAAACTACGCTCTCAGGTTGTAATATTCAGAGCTATTACGTCCTTACGATAATAACGCTCGCGTTCATCTGGCCCTTACAGGGCCCAATATATATCACGCTCAATCATGAGTAACGACCAATAAGACCTCCGACGTCCTTATTACGCTTCTGTCCTTATTTATTCGAAATGATCGTTCTCGACGATGACGATCACGACCACGACGACGACGACGACGACGACGACGACGACGACGACATTGTATGGCTTTATTAAATCGAACGTTCGAAAAGAGAGCTTCCTAATTAATTTTAACGAGGGAGAACATTCGTAAGAAGCCTAGCTGGTAAAGAGCCACTAACAACGAGCTATTAATATCGCGCAGTTTAACGATCGCCTTCCCCTTTATATTCATCTATCTTTATCTCAAACGATCGTTCGAAATTCGTTGAATTTTGAATCATTCGTTTGCTGCTACGATAGATAATTCAAGCATACTTAATTAATTTGTTTATAATAGATCTCGCCAAGAAAGGAAACAAAGATGCTTTTATGTGAAATGACCGTAAAAAGAGCAGTAAAAAAGAACACGTTATGGAAGATTCAACATGTCACGGCATTTCAGCATACTTGCCATATCATAATTTAATCGGAAAAATCTTCTTTTTTCGGTGTAATTAAATATGAATGCATCCATTAATTAAATTAAAAATCCGCGCGTGTCATATTTAGATATTATATTAAACAAGTAGAAAATTATTTTTCAACATTATTTCACTTGCATAGAAATAATAGAAAAAAGTTAAACATTTTTTATTACTGAACAGGATACTGAATAATTATTAAAATTAGTGAAAATGAAATTCTCAAATATACACTAGTTTTTGCGTGTAATTCATTATGCATCATATAATTTTTTATGTATAATTTAAAAATTTTCGCTTTTTAAAATCGAATTATAGAAAGAAAGAAAGTAATTATATTAAATGACTTTTTTTCTACTTGTGACATTCTTGTGTCACAAAATAAAGAAAACATTTTATATTACTAAAAACGTAGTTCATATCGACTCTAAGACACCATTACAAATTATAAAATTAATCTTCAATCATCAATTCTGTATCAATTTTATATCATCTTATTCATAATTATTATGTAATAATAAATATAATATAACTCTTCTTTTTTACATTATAATATCCATTTTAAACTAAAAATCTAGAATAGCAAAAAAAGAGAATAATTCATTCAGTAGCAATAATTGTATGAAAATTATAATTTAAAAATATATAATGCAAAATGTACGCATAATGATAAGTGTACAAAATACATATTATACAAAATACAATTGATTGGTTTATAAAACTGAAATAATTTCAAAAAAAAGCGAAGAAGAGAAAGCTTGGAGTAAATCCAAAGGTAGAAAAGCTGAAAGCGA